CAAGAAAGATCAGAAGTAAGAGTTAACCCTGAAGATGAAGGGTAGATTACTCAATGGTAATATACTGAGTATATTACCATTCATAAATATTGGAAGATCTAAATTATTGCGATAACGATCGCCTGAATAAATTTTTTATCTGAATTAAAGTTCACCAGTTTTATCTGAATTAAAGTTCACCAGCCACTGTGAGCCCCATGCTGTAGCAGAAGTGAGATCCTTTTCAAGCTCAGATGTCCCCTCCAAGCAATGAGTTAGAGTTGGTTTCTTATCATGACAAGAATAAATAGTAATATCATCAGCAAACAATGCCACCTTAGATGTGAGAATATCTAGAAGATTGTTAGTGTAAATTAAAAAGAGTATAGGGCCAAGGATTGAACCTTGAGTAACCTCTGAGGTTACAGAATAAGGAGAAGAATGCTGTCCATCAAGAAAAATTTTTATACTACAATTGGAAAGGAAGGATTCAATAATCTTAAAGATGTTTCCAGATACACCATAAGAAGAAAGCTTATGGAAAAGACCAGCATGCCAAATTTTATCAAACGCTTTAGAAATGTCAAGAGCGATGGCCTTAACCTCTCCACCTTTATCTAATGCACAATAAAACCTATCAGTTATTACTGTTAGCAAATCAGCCGTAGAACGAGAAGATCAAAATCCATATTAATGATGAGAAAGTAAGTTACTAGATTTAAGATAAGAGAATAAGTGTTTACTAATTAAAGATTCAAAAACCTTGCTTATGATAAGAAGAAGACTAATGGGACGGTTAGAAGACGAATCAGATCGCTCTACAGAATTTTTAAAAATAGGGATAACAGGTACTGCTTTTCAGCAGGCTGGAAAACAAGACTCTGATAAGCACTTGTTGAATAGTTTTTAAAGGATAGACAAGAGCTCCGGGGAATACTTCTGCAAGATTATAACAGGTATGTTGTCTGGGCCACAAGCTGTAGAAGAGTCTAAGCAGGAAATCACTTTAGATACAGAGGCTGAAGTGATACGAATGTCAAGCAATGGATCAACCTGTTTGACGGCTATATCAGGTAGAAACACAACTAGTGGAATCAAGAGATCATATTGATGAAAAGTTTTTAGCAAATAATTCATCATTGTCTTTAGGTGAGGTGACAAAGTCTGTACGATATAAAAGAGGTGGAATTACAGTCTTGTCCTTATTATTGATACTATTTATTGATAAGATTCTCCAGAAGTCACGAGAGCCTAATTTTTGTGATGAAATGCGAGATTTCATGACCAGAGAGTAGCAGGTTTTGGCGTTAGACAAAACCGTTTTACAATGGTTCCTAGCAATAATAAACTGACACCTGTTTTCATTAGAATTGTTTTGCTGATAGATATGGAAGTAACGTAAAGTAAAGTTTTGATTGGAAATTGCAGCAGTACAATGTGAGGAAAACCATGGAGAAGGGTGAGGCTTGACCTAGAATTGTGAGAGGGAATAAAAGATTCTATGCCTGCCTGAATCCACGAAATTATGTAAGAAGCACAATTGTCAACAGGAAGATGAAAAATTTCTACCCAAGGGCCATCACAAAGAAAATCACGGAAAGATTCCCAGTCAGCTTTAAGGTAGTTGTAAGATGTACGATGATAGGGGGATTCTGATGATAAAGAGGAATGAGATTTAGAGAGTTTTAGAGAGATAGGGGGATTCTGATGATAAAGAAGAAAGATTTCTACCGGAGGGTAATAATGAAGAAAATCACAGAAAGAGTCCCAGTCAGCTTTTAGATAGTTATAAGGGGTAGAATGATAGGGAGATTCTGACGTTGAAGAAGAATGAGATAATAGTTTTAGAAAGATCTAACCATGATCAGAAGCACCTAAGGGTGCATGTGGAGAAACTAAGCACTGACTAGTATCAGAAATAAGACATAAGTCAAGTAGAGAAAGTAAATGATTCGGGTTGTCTGAAAAGCAAGTTGGAAAGTTGACTATTTGAGTTAGTGATTGAGGTAGGCAAAAGTTGTGGGCTTTAATGCCTGCAGAGTTACTGACACTAAAGCCAAGCCATTCAGTGTGATGAACATTAAAGTCACCGACAACAACAATATTGGCTGATGGATAAAGAGAGAGGGCTTGGTCAATATGATCAGAAATAACACCAAGAAGAGTGCAGTCTTGAGATAAAGGAAAGCGATATAGAACAAAGAGAAAGGTGATAGAGTGAAGTGGTGCTAAATAAAAGCACATAAAAGAGTAGTCTGAGGATTTAAATCTAATTCTTACGAATGTAAATTCCAAGACCTAATAGATGAAGAAGGGGTGCGAAGCTGGTCAACAGATAGATTCTGTTTATCCCTTAAATCTTTGCCTAGGAGGTCTTCTACAAGACAGCAGCCGGATGCATTTAACATTTGCCCAAGATGAGTATTTTTATTGAGACACTATCTCTAGCTTTTACTCAACCAAGAGCCCCAAGGCAGAGAGTGTTTTATGTTGGAGTTGGCATCTCCTAGCCTTTGCCTAAAAAGGCGTATCCTACAAGGCAGCAAGACATGAAGCAGATTGTACTGGGTTACATGTTACCAGTAGTAGGATAACCTGACCTGACGTTAATATAAATGACCTGACATTAAGATAAAAGGTTTAGTCCTTTTATGTTTTATCAAAAATGAATAAAACCTTTATAAAAATGTATGCTCTTTCTTCTTTTAAGTATCAGTTCAATTCATCGTAATTTTAAAACTAAAGAGTTTTCTCACTTATCACTGATAATTATTTATAAAATTTTTAAAATTTTACATATATCACTGATAATTGATTTTGAAAGTTAGAAATGTCAGAGATGATTTTTTAAAGTTGCATTTTGACAAATGTTACATTTCTTGAAAAGAGGTCATTCTACTAATTCTTAAAATAAACCACCGTTAACATAATAAAGAGATAATATAAAGGTCAGGTCTGAATTATCATGATCACCCTACTACTGTTACTTACCAAGCTTACTTGCTCTTTGTAAGACTAGTTTATATTTTGCTTTGTAAGTCTAGTATACATTTAATTTTCAGATATTAGTGTTGATGGCTGTTATCTTTTGATTATTAAAGACACAATAGTCACATGCTTAGCCTGTTTACATATCAATTTACCTATTTTTCACAAAATTAAATTTGAATCTTTTTGTTATTCTTTTAAAAGCTGTCGCTTAACTTCTCCTCACTCATTCAACTTTTCTTTTGTTCTTTATTATCCTCTTTTTTCTCAAGAATGCACTATTTTTGATGATTTTCTGATTAAATTAAGCCATTCCCATTACATCAGACATTATTGTTGTTATTGTTGACTTTAATGTGCATTGCTACTGTTACTTTGTTTTCCAACAACCATAATCACTTATCTTTGCACTTTGATTTGTGTCTTGTCTAGTACCCTAACTTATGCTCAGTTTTTCTTCATTTTTTAAAAATGGTTTAGATTATGCTATGACCTTACTAAAACGTTAATCTTGTACTTCTACAATAGATTGTGCAATGATCTCACTAAAACTTTAATCTAAAACAAATAGATATTATTTTAACACTTCTTACTGTTACCTTAACGCTGACTAGAATTAATTTTGTGATTTCATTTGTAATCAATAGTTAATTTTTATTTGTTTCTCTGCTGAAAATCATGCATCCATTATAATCTCCTTAATTCAGGCAGGTTTGTAGGCTTATATTCCTTCTTGTTGGTTTTAAACCCAGTCTAACTCAACTTTATGGTTGCCATGGTTTTCTTATTTAATGCAGTTACTGTTTTTAATTGTAATCAATTTTTCACATTTTTGGCGCCATCATGAACTTTGTAGAAAACAAATGTCTTTTTTATTGTGGCAAGAAATCAAAGGTGTTGTCTCTAACTAAGTTAGCTTTCTTCTATGTTTTCTGTTAACTCCTAACTTAATTTATGGTTGCTTGCTTGTCTAACAAGTTTTTGTAGCATAGATTTTGGAAAATACGTTTTTTTTCAGTTTAAGTTTATAAGAGCTTTGCTTCACTAATAAGTAAATCTATTTGTTTTGCCAAAAGTTGCTTACTAGTGATGTTGATCTTAAACAAAATGCCATACCACACAACCAGAGAAATGACAATCTGAAAACTAAAAATCTTATTTGCAACAGCTTGTGAAGTATTAAACCTGTTAAACTTGTATTGTCCGCAATCAAAGCATTATAGATATCCCCAAATTGAAGAGTTTTAAAAGTTACAATTCAATGTTTTTTACTAATGTATTAAGTAAAAAACATTGAAATCTTAATGTATCCATTTATAAGAAAAAAGTTGTCTGATAATTGTATGAAGCACCTTAAATATTAAATTGTACAAAAACACAAATAAATAATATTACCTTGTATACAAGTACAATTAAGTAATCTCAACTTGTACAAAAGTATAACTAATCTTACCTTGAACTAAAGTGCAAATAAATAATCTTATGTAAGATGATATTACTGAATCTATATAATATGTTCATTGACAAAAATATGAGCTTATATTTTCTTGCCTAACCTTTTTACTTTTTAACTAATTTAATGCTATTGAATTATGTACACATAAATCAAGTAATAAAAGGCATAAATAGTCAAGCCAGCTACCTGTTTTTTTTTTCAATATAAATGAATATGGTTGAGCTGAGCTCATTAAATCTATATCGTTGGTTGTGCTATGTGCATCCAGGTATTTCTGTTGTTGTGTCATTTATTTTTCTTTGGCTTACTGAATATTTGTACTCAACATTTTTTCTTGATAAATCAGGGAGATCAAGTATTTTGCCATGTGTCTGTTAATAACAAAATAAGCCCAAAGTAAGGTAGTGATCAAATTTATATTATGCTGGTATTATGCCATGGAACTTATTCGTTGTCACTTGACTGAAAAAATTTATTAAATTCATTCAATACTATGCAGCTGCATAGTTTGTCTAGTAGTTAAACTGGGCATGTTTCTACTTTATAATACTAATTATAACCAACAACTTATTTTTAGGCTTTGTCTTTAGCTGCATTAAATCCTCTAACAGTTAATCAAGATGAAGAGGCAAGTGGAGAACCTCAGCCTAAGAGTACCTTTCAAATTTTTGGAACATTGAAGAATAAAAGTAATAAAAAACCTGATTGGGTCACTGCAATATTTGAAGTAAATTATTTGAAGAAATTTTTTTTTGTAAAAAATTGGCTTTTATGCTATATTAAGTTTATTAATTAGACAATGTTTAAAAAAACAACAACAAAATAAATAAATGTAAAATATATCATACAAGTTTAACTTCTTGTATGATTTTTTTTGGAGTTTATTGGAAACTTGTATAATGCATGTATTCTCTTTTGTATCTGTTGGTATCTTTGGTATAGAAGAAAATACTTTGAACTTAAAGTAAATCTTTTTATTATTTAAACAAAGTAATGTGTATATTTTTTAGAATGAAACTAAAGAAGAGTTATTTATTCAGCTGAAAGAATGTGATGTTTTTATTTATGATATCTTTTCTAGTTCATCACAAGTTGAAGAAGCTATATGGTTGGTAACAGGTAATATGATAATGATGATTATGATGATAATGATGATGATGATGATGATGATGATGATGATGATGATGATGATGATGATGATGTGATGATGATGATGATGATGATGATGATGATGATGATGATGATGATGATGATGATGATGATGATGATGATGATGATGATGTGATACAGAACAAATTTCATATTATTCATGTCCAAAGCTTTAAGTTTACAAACATCAAATATCAAGTATGTCAAAAGCAATAACCTTGCTTCACAAATTTTATTTTATTATTAAAGTTGTCCTCAATGGACAGCACATTTATTCTTGTCATGATAAGTAGCCAACACTCTCTGAATGCTTGGAGGGGGCATCTGAGTTTGAAAAGGATCTCACTTCCGCTACAGCATGGGGCTCACAGTGGCTGGTGAACTTTAATTCAGATAAAACTCAATTTTTTTCAGGCAATTGTTGTTGCAATAATCTAGATCTTCCAATATTTATGAATGGTAATGTATTTGATGAGTCATCTACCCTTCATCTTCTAGCATTAACTCTTACTTCTGATCTTTCTTGGAAATCATTTATCAAATTGATTTCAAAATTAGCATCTGCTAAGGTTGCATCTCATTATCGTGCTTGACACTTTCTCACTTCGGATTCTATTTTTTGTTTCTATAAATCTCAAATCCATCCTTATATGGTAATACTGTTGCCATATCTTGGCGGATCTTCCAATGATGCCTTTTCTCTCTTAGACAAGGTACAAAAATGTATTTTAAACATAGTTGGACCTGCTCTTGCAGCCAACCTCCAACCTTTATCACATCTTTGTAAAGTTGGTTCTCTTTCTCTTTTCTATAAATGCTATAATGGACACTGCTCTAAAGAACTAGCATCTTTTGTGCCACCTGCTAAAATTTATTCTCGTGTTACTTGTCATTCTATTAAGTCTTATCCTTTTACTGTGACTTTTTTTAAAAATTCTTAATTGTCCTGTTTTTTTCTTCGAATATCAGTTCTTTGGAATTCCTTAATCATGTTTTCCTGTTTCATATAAGTTGCAATGTTTTAAGTTGTCTGTCAATGGTTATCTTGCTCTATGAACTTCATCTTTTCTCTTCCAGTAACTTCCAACTCTAATAATGGTTGTTTGCAGCCTTGTTGGAAGTTGATTATTTTTAGTATAGTTAAATTAATAAAAAAAAATCATGCAACTACTTGTAAAAATATAATTTTTATGAATAATAACAATTTTTGAATTATAACAATAAAAAACTTTGATGCTAATAAATGAAAATCTATTTTTATTAAACTTTATAAATAATTTTTTTAAATTATTCACATATGGTCTGATACATAAAAAACATGTTTAATATATAAAAAAAAATTAAAAGACAAAGGTTTTTGACTTGAAATTTTTTTGAAGTGACTGATGATTGTTTTTGTTATAATTTTCTCTTTACTTTTTATTTTTAGCCTTAACAGCAGAAATTTCCAGTTTTACAACACAAAAAGTTTTTATATGTATCTCTACAGTTTTAACATGGTCAAAGACAAAACCAATTGATCCTGTGAGTTTCTTGTGTAATAAAAAAATGCACAATATGTTATAATGTCTTAATAACATTCAATAATGTAATAACTCCAATTGTGTTACAAATGTCATTAGCTGATACATGATAATTTGTACTTAATATAATATTAATAATCCAAAATTATATATATATATATATATATATATATATATATATATATATATATATATATATATATATATATATATATATATATATATATACTATATATATATATATATATATATATATATATATATATATATATATATATATATATATATATATATATATATATATATGTATAAACTTATATTAATAAATCTTTTTATTATAAATCTAGAAATACAAGATTCTTGATATCATAAATTTTTATATATATATACTTTTTCTCTTTACAAATGTTGCCATTTGCTTTGTGAGTTCATTGCTTTTGAACATCATTTTTTATATCAAGTTAAATTCAAGTAGTTTATCACCACCAAAGACTTAATTGAGCATCCAAAATCAATGAAAGAAATCTGAATTATTCTATTTATTTTTACTTTTCACTTAGTGATACATTTCTTCATTTTTTTAAAACTCTAATGCTCTTCTTTTTCTTGAAACATTCCTTAGCTTGATACTTGTAGGAACATATGGTGCAGTTTGCTTCATAATCAGGTGTGTAATGTCCTAAGGTTCCACAATTAAAAATAAGAAATTGAGTCTGCTCAAGTATATTTGTTAACATGATTATGCTACAATAGTCAAAGCAAATGTATCACTCCACTTTAAGGTCTAATTAGGTACTTGTTCTAGTATATTAGTAATTTATACAGCCTTGTTTTGTTTTCAGTTTTCCCATAGTAGACATTTAGTTTAATATCATCATGTGATTCATTTTAAAAGTTAGTTGCTCATCCTTTACTTGTTCTTTTAACTTACATAATTTTAATTGTTAAATCATTTCAATTTCCAGGTAGGCAATCATTTTTTGCTGGTGGACACAATTTTTCTTTTGCACATTGATAGTAATGTTGTAGTAGTAAAAAGTTTTATTTATAGTTTTTCTCACTTATATTAGGAAGATCCAGAAGTTCCATTTACTGAAGATGATTACCGTAAAAGAAGATCCCATCCAAATTACAAGTCACATTTGAATTGTGAAAAGTTAGTGATAAAAAATGGAAAAATAAACAAATCATTGTTTATGACTTACGTAGTTATTGCTGGAGTTTTATATGGATTAGAAGAAAATCTATTACATATACTTTTTAAGCAAGCATGGCTTGGAGGAGAAAAAGGTTTACCTGTGTTTGGCACTGGCAAAAATACTATTCCAATGATACATGTTAATGATTTAGCTTCTGCTGTCCGTAGCATTGTTGAATTAAGACCTAGTGTTCGATATTTGCTTGCAGTTGATGAATCTAAATCATCACTTGAAGAAGTTACAAGGGTAAAAATTATTTCATACACATATATTTCTTTAACGCTAGTATAACGAATGGCATAAAATGTATTTTAGGTAATCATGGTAATTATTGTATACATTTTTAATGCACAAAAAAAGAAAATGTTCTTACAAAAGCTAATTAAAGTTAATTGTTTTTTTAAATACTAAAAAGAAAAAAAAAAAGAAATTAAAAGAACTAGAACTTTAAGAGTTAAGAGTTATAAAAAGAAAAATGTAACCTTTCTTATCATTCTCCTCGAAGTTGAATAACATTAAAATATATATATGTATTTCAATATGTATGTGCATGTAATTGTACATACATGTTGAATTACATATGTATTTTTATACATATTATTTTAAATACATATGTATTGAACATAAATGTATACATGTTGATGTATTGTTATTGATATTTATAAATACACTTTTGTTGATGTTAACTATATTTATGTAAAAAAATTTTTTTAATTAACTAAAAGAATTAGAGCTTCAGTACATACATCAACTGAGGATTTGGGGTTGGGCAGGTACTGTCTAGATATGAATAACTTTTATTACAGTATAAATTTTTTTTTTTTTTTTTCATTATCCTTTATTTTTTCTTTTCTGACAGATTTGAGTGAACCATTTAAAAATTAATGCTCACAAAGTATGTTAACAAATTGTGACATTTAACAATCTTGCTATGTCCAGATTTTAAAAGTTGAAAAAGAATTCCAAAAAAAGTTTGAAAACTTTAGACTCTTTAAACTAATGGACTGCCAAAACCTTCAATTATTACATGTTGATGATACTGGTGATCATTCGATGATGTACTGCTGATTACTTGATGATGTACTGGTGATCACTTGATGATGTACTGATGATCACTTGATGATGTAGGGGAGAGTGGGGTAATGACGAACAGCTAAGCGGGAATGCGAATTAAAGACAATTATTACTATATATTAATGATATTTTTTGCTTATTATTTAGTCTAACCATTTGGTTAGAATCACTCAAAAGCAATTTTCATATATCTTATTAAAAAATAAAAAATTTGATTAAAAACAAAACCTTCGGTGTTCGGAATTACCCTACGTACATGTGGTAATTCCGAACATACCGTGTATATATATATATACTTATATATATATATATATATATATATATATATATATATATATATATATATATATATGTATGTATACATATATGTATATATTTATATATATACATATATATATATTTATACATATATATATATATATATATATATATATATATATATATATATATATATATATACATATATGTATATATATATATATATATATATATATATATATATATATATATATATATATATATATATATATATATATATATATATATATATATATATATGTATATATATATATATATATATATATATATATATATATATATATATATATATATATATATATAGATATATATATACATATATATATATATATATATATATATATATATATATATATATATATATATATATATATATATATATATAAATTTTACAATAATAAACTAAATAAATAATGTATAATAACTTTATTTAAGAATCATCCGTGTGTTATCATATACGCTAGAATACTTTGAAGACAATAAGTGTTCGCGATTACCCCACTAAGATCGTTCGTTATTTCCCCGCGTTACAACCAAATGAAATTAAATGAATATATTGAGGTAGTATTATCATACCCTAAATATAATACGTGTTACAAACTCCATGATTATGATACTTTGCAACAACATAAATAAAAGTGTGGTTTTATATACATAGTATAGCCAATACATAAATGTTTCGCAAATAAAAATTACATAAAACTAAGAGAAAAACTTAAAAGCAATCTACCGCGAAGAACCTGCGCATTTATAATACACTATTGCACGTCTGGAACTGAGCATGGAACCCACTCTTGTCAGAAAAAAAAAGATTGTCAGCTATCCTTTTCTAACATGCCTTAACAACCTTGTTCGGAGTTACCCCGCGTTCGCCATTACCCGACTCTCCCCTACTGGTGATCACTTGATGATGTACTGGTACACTCACTGTGCTTATCCCTAATCAGTTAATAAAAAAAAAATAAAAAAACAAGAAAATAAAGTAAAGCCAAATAATAATAAGCGTATATAACAAAAAAATAAAAACAAAAGTTAATTGAAAAAAACAAAAACTTTTTAGTCAATAAATTTGTGGTTTTTTAAAAATCAATAAAATTTTAAGTATTTAATATTTTAAATATTTTTTAATAACTTTGTAATTTTGACAACTTAAATCATCAAAATTAGGTAACAGCTGTTTTTTATCATTTATATACTATATATTTTGTTGCTACATAATAGGCCATCTCAAAGAACCTGGGAAACAACAAAGTAGAATTTGTGAACATTGAAGATGCCTTACTTGAGAATAGCATAAGTGTAAGATTATTTAGATTCAAGAATCTATAGTTAAATAAGTTTTTGAAAAGAGTAATATGGATTATTAAATTTAATTCATGAATAAATTAGAAAATTTCACTTTATTTTATATAGCAATTAGATTATGATTTGTTATCTGTAAATTTACGTATGGATGCTACATTTGTTAAAGAAAATTTAAACTTTCCTTGGATTTCAGAGGTGACATTTTTTTTTTATTAGTTTTTGTTTTTATGAATTAATTTCTCTTGTCTTTGGTTTATTTTTTATTTTTTCAAAAATTAGAGTGGTTTTATAGAAAACATTCAAAAGATTATACAAGAGTTTAAAACAACTCGTGGTTTACTGGTGAGTCATTTTTACTGAAACAATTACTGGTGAGTCATTTTTACTGAAACAATTTTTATGACATTTTAATATCTGAATATTTGCAGTGCTTTTTGATTTAGACATGATTTTGTTGCTAACAGCATTTTTATCATTATTATATATCATAAATTTAAAACTAAAGATGATATTAAAATAATTTTTTATTTACTTGCAAGAAAATTTTTTGTTAAAATTATCTTCGATACTAAAACATACAATTGTTTATCAAATATATCAGATTTATCATACAAAACATATAACTGTATATAAAAACGTTATCAAACATAATAACAAAAAATTTCTGTTAAAAAATTGCGGTATATCAAAACTAGATGCAACAAAAATGAACAAGCTTTTTTTACATCAATTTAACAAGATTGTTGCAAAATTTTTGTGGAACTTTAAATAGTATTTATTTCATGCTATTAATATATTTATAACTATTATTACTTGGTTACTTTTACTGCTTTTATTTATGTGTATCTTAACTTTTAGATCTTATCAAAATATTGAAATGAAAAATGTGACTTAACTATTGTTTGTAAGCAGTTTTCTGCTTTTATAGGAAATTGTTAAACTAACATACAAATAAATAAAATGTTTATGAAAAATAGATTGAGAAGTGGACATAAAATTAATTAAAAAGTTTGAGCAACTATTTTTTTTTTACAGTATGATTTTTGTATTCTTTTAATAAAACTAAATTACTGAAAAATATAAATTGAACTTGTTGTTGACAATCAATCATGCAAAAAAAAAAAAAAATTCAGGAAATATGGTTACTTTTTAAGATATTTATGCTTAATTAATTATAATTTATAACTTAAACTTAAAAAAAAAAAAAAATAAACATTTTACTGTATCTATACATTATAAAATATATTTTTTAACAACCTCATAAATTTTTTTCTTAAACTGTTAAAGGTGTTTTAATTCCAGCCTCTTCGTGTATGTATACTTGGTCCTCCAGCAGTAGGCAAAACAACAGTAGCGAAACAGCTATGTGAGCATTACAAAATTCACCACATCAAGATTCAAGATGTTATTGAAGAAGCAATCAAAAATCTTGTATGTTTTTTTTAAAATTACTTTGTACATTATTTTTTTAGAATATTTAAAGCTAGGTTGGCTTTATCTGTTTAGAGGGGTGAAGGGGGCAAGGTTTTGTAAATTAGTATTTTTTGTGACTTTTGCTAATTTAAATTGAGTTTTATATTTTCTTGTATTATTTTATTAAATTAATTATTTATAAAAATAACTAGAATAAAATAATAATTATAATATAATTAACTAATTATTAAAAATATATAAAATAATTATAAAGATGATTCACTAATTATTAAAATAATAAGACATTTTATTATATTTGTATTATTTATTTTTATTTATTATAAATTAGTTCAAATGACAATCTAATGCATAAAGTATTAAGCAAAATTTTCATAAATCTAAAATTTTGATAAAAAATTTTAGATTTATAAAGAAAAATTTTAAATTTAATTTATCCTCTAGAAGATAGATCAAATTTTTAAAAAAATTTTAAAAAAAGAAAATAGTTTATTGAATTTAATAAATGTAAGTATCGTATGATATTTGATAATCTGTTATTATTATAATCTTTTTCCAAATGGGTGAAAAATAAGAATGTTTTTATAAAATATATATAATATTATGCATTTTTGAAAAGCATAAAATATTCTTCAAACCTAACTGAATTTATGATAAAGTTTTATGTAAAAAACTATATATTAAAGAAATGGAGCCTAATATATGGGCAATCAAGAAGCCAAAATTTCTCTAATCTCAAGACAGCACTTTTGTTATTTCTGATCAAATTGACCAAGTTCTCTCTCTTTAAACATTAGCCAACATCGTTGTTGTTGGTGACTTTAATGTTCATCACTCTGAATGGCTTGGCTCTAGTGTCAGTAACTCTGCAGGTGTTAAGGTCCACAACTTTTGCCTTTCTCAATCTCTAACACAAATAGTCAACTTTCCAACTTGCTTTCCAGACAAATCGAATCATTTACCTTCTCTACTCGATTCATGTCTTGTTTCTGATCCTAATCAGTGCTCAGTTTCTCCACATGCACCCTTAGGTGCTTCTGATCATGGTTAGATCTCTCTAAAACTATTATCTCATTCTTCTTCAACGTCAGAATCTCCCTATCATTCTACCCCTTATAACTATCTAAAAGCTGACTGGGACTCTTTCTGTGATTTTCTTCATTATTACCCTCCGGTAGAAATCTTTCTTCTTCCTGCTGACAAATGTGCTTCTTACATAACTTTGTGGATTCAGGCTGGCATTGAATCTTTTATTCCCTCTCAACAATTCCAGGTCAAGCCTCACTCTTCTCCATGGTTTTCCATTTTAATAAATTGTTTTGTAATATATGGCTATGTTTCATATTGGAAATTATAGACATAACTTTTGCATCATCAGCATTCAATTTTTGACTATTTTTATTTTTTGTGCTATATCCATGTATACCATTTTCCATTTATCAGTAAATCTAATGTTCTTTAATATCTATTTTCAAATATGCTTTAAACCAATAAAACTTTATAAAAAACTTTCCTAAAACTTTATTTATACTTTTAATAACAACTTTTTATTGCCAACATTTTATGTGCTACTGAATTAAATTTATTAGCAAAATCCCAAAAGAAAAATATCTTTTAAAATATTGCTCAGAATACACCCATATCAACATGTTGCAAGCATCCAATAATTTTTTCTGTTAAAATGCATGCTAACAAAGTTTTTGTTCATAATAGTATAATTTATGATACAAATATTTTTTATATTTAATTTAATATTATAATTAATAGGTTATAGAAAAAAAAAGTAAAATGATGCCTATATAATCCATGTTGAAGTGGCATGCTGTGTTATTGAAGTGGCATGCATGTTGAAGTGGTATGCTGGGAATAAGTTAAATATTCACAAATTTTCTTTTTCTGTTATTAAAAAATTATTATTTCTATTTTCAAGTTGAAAATGTTGGTTAATGGCATCCAGTTTAACTGCATAATTTCTTGTTTTCTAGTTAACCAAAAATATTACTGTTTAATTTGGTGAAGCTGTAATTGGTAAAAGTTCCCATATTAGAGAATTCCACTTGCTTTGTTAATTAATTGACTTCATTATGTTTGTGCATTTGTCTATTTTTTCAAGTTCAGTATGTTAGTTCACATTTCTCAGCATATGGTCAATCTTTATCTATAAAAATTTCAAATATTGACCATACTGGTCAATATTTGAAATTTTTATAGATTTTAAAGTTTTATAAATACTAACTGTTATGACCCATAAAATACTTGTCTAGGGGAGTTTATTTCACACCTACCTTGATCTCAATACTTATTCAGCTATTTATGTTTGATTTCTTATCTATTCTTTGTTTTACTTTAATGTTTTCCGAACAAATAATAGAAAAACATTTCCTTTGAACATTTTTTTTTGGGTAAAAAAAATAAATATGTGTTAAAAAGGTAGCGGAGCTGCCAATGTTTCATGGGAGGTAGAGGTCACTGACACCATCACAAAGAATACGTAGCTATATTTGAATAAAAGATTGCTGATAGGTAGTAGTGATTGCAGTATTTAGAGGGAATGGGAATCTGTTTGGGTTTCTGCTATTGGTGCAAAGTAATTTAGTGGTTATCAGATGGTTTGTGTCAGCAAGGATCTTTTTTAAGGATATTAATAAGGTCTTGTCTTGTAATTTTTCAATGTCAACTCCGATGATGTGTAAGGGTAAAAAAATAAAAAAATGGCAAAATTACTGTCTATTTTCAAATAATTACAAGCTTCACATTGAATGCACATTGTGTCCTGATGGTGCAAGCTATTGTAAAAAAATTTAAATACAAATTTAAATTAGTCAACGAGCTTAAAGAAAATACTTAATCTCTTGGAATCAAATTTAAATTGCTAGTTCTTGATGTCAGAACTGGATAGAACAGTGCATTAAAAATGTTCAAAAGTTTCAAAGACATTATCCCAGCTATAAAAAAAACTTATAAATCATTTGGACATGATTGGCCTGATTATTCAGAGCAAGTATTCCTGAATTAGTAGCAACTCTTCAACAATGTAAAATGGTATGGATGCCATAAGTGATGATGATGCTGACTTGAACATTGCAGAATTAGAATTTTTGTTAGAGGAATTGCAAACAAAGAAAAGTTTTATTTGTGCTCGTTTCATTGAAGAAATTGAAATAGAGATTTTAAAAGACATCCGATCTTAACTATTTGTCTGCTCAAATTTCTCAACAATCCAGGAAGAGCTTGAAGAGCCAAAAGTGTCCCTATTCTTACTCTCATCAAGTAAAGAAATTATTGAAGAAGCAAAAAGACTCTAAACATTTTTTCACTCTGTCTAGTAAGGATGACAGTGATGATGTTGTAGAAATTGCATCTGAAGCTCATCAGACAGTCGAACAGACTCCCAATAATCCTAAGTTACGTCTTCAAAAAAAAGAGAATCCGATGCCTGACAACAAATCCAAGTCACTGATCCTAATGATTTGTCTGCTGATGAATTAACAGCTATGTTATGACTGGATTTAAATCAAAAAAGTTATACATGTTAGAAAATGCGTTGAAATTAATCAAGCCAACATCGATTCGATGTGAACAAAATTTTTAAATTTCAAGCAACCACCGTAGTAAGAAACGGGAGAGAATGACAGCTGCAAATTTAAATGACTGAGTCTTTTGAAAAACTTTTTCAAGAGTCAACATTAATTTGATAAATGTAGAAAACTTATGATTCATTAAAATAATAATAACAAAAAATTATTAAACACAAATTTTTTGGAGAATTTCAGTTTATTTTCATAGTTTTTACATTTTTGAAAAAGTCTTAGTTTTGTCTCGGTTTCATACAAGATCTTGTCTCTGAAAAATATTGTCTCGTATGGACCAAGAACTGAGACAAATAAAAACCCAAGATTCTGAAAGTGTAGTTAAAAAGACAGCGGAGCTGCCAATGTTTTGTGGGAGGTAGAGGTCACTGACACCATCACAAAGAATACGTAGGTATTTTTGAATAAAAGATTGCTGATAGGTAGTAGTGATTGCAGTATATAGAGGGAATGGGAATCTGTTTGGGTTTCTGCTATTGGTGCAAAGTAATTTAGTGGTTATCAGATGGTTTGTGTCAGCAAAGATCTTTTTAAGGATATTAATCAGGTCTTGTCTAGCAATTCTTCAAAATGTACTCCGGCATGTATATATTTCCAATCAGTGGTATGATTACTTTTTTTTTCTCTTTGGCAATGATTAGATAAGTAAGCTGCAATCCAAGATTTGAGCCAGGAAAGTAGAATATTCACCAACCTTAGTAGCAACTTGTCATGATCAACAAGATCAAATACTGTTGCAAAATTGAAGAATATTACAAAAATTGATTTATTATTATCTTCAAAATGATTCCCATCCTCTATAACTTGAATAATAGTGTCCATTGTACTATGGCCTAGAAACTGAACTGTTTCTTTGAAACCCAGATGTTCTTAGTGTGATGGACAATGATTTGGTGACAATGTGTTCAAAAACTTTGTATAATGTGGACGTAATAGCAATTGGACAATAGTCATTGGAAGATAGCAAGTTTGAGATTTTAGGAATTAGTGTTATGTTTGCTGATTTCCATAAATCAGGGTAACTATTTTTTATAAGGTGGTTAAATAGGGTATAGAGTGATGGGGCAATTCTAAGTGAGTAGATTTGAGAAAAAATGGGGAGAGATCATCAGGTCCTGATGATCCTGTTTTTAATTTGCTGAGTTGGTTAAGAATGTTATTAATGGTAGAAATAGGGGTAATAGGTAGTTCTGCTTGATGGTTGATGAAAAATGAGAGATTAGATTGTTTCTTATTGCTCCAAACATTTTGGAAATTATTGTTCAATTGATTTGCTAATGTTTCAAAGATAGAATCAGTGATTTGATCTTTATCGGCAAGCCCAACTTCTTACCAAAAATATGTTTTATATATATATATATATATATATATATATATATATATATATATATATATATATATATATATATATATATATGTATATATATATATATATATATATATATACAATGAACAAAAAGAAACATGGAAAATTGTCAAGAAATTACTACATTCGAATAGTTCTAAATCTAATAACACATTACCAGAAGCAAAATACGATATAATAAGTCATTATTTCGAAATTATAAAAAACGCTATCCAGGAAAGGCTTGCAAAAACCCCAGTATCTAAATTTATCTCAGAGTTATCTCCCCCTTTAGATATATTAACAACATTTGGTACAGTCAACCTACAGATGTGTCGAAAATAATCAAAACTCTCAAACCTAAGGCATCGCCACTTGATATTATTCCAATAAACATCCTCAAATCTTGTTCAGAAATATTCAGTCCAATTATAGCTCACCTTGCTGACCTCTCATTCAAATTCGGAATTTTCCCAGCCTCATATAAAGTTGCTCAAATAACACCAATTACCAAAAAATCAGGACTAGCAGAATTTGATCTAACAAATCTAGGCCCCATATCAAATCTCAATACAATTTCGAAAATTATTGAAAAGTTTGCTTTATCTCATCTTCATCCACACGTAACATCATCTGTCAACTTCAATCCTCTACAATCGGGTTTTAGATCTTATCACTCAACCGAAACAGCACTCTTAAAGATATGCAATGATATCCTGCTAAACATTGATGATGGTTTGACCACTGTTCTCCTATCTCTGGACATATCTTCAGCATTTGATACAATTGATCACAGCCTGCTGATTACCCGTATTAAGAATGAGTTTAGTGTCACAGATATTGCATTAAAATGGCTAACATCATACTTGCACTCTCAAAAATTTTTTGTTTCTATTGGATCATCAAATTCTAGACTAATTCGCAAGTTCAACAGAAGTACCACAGAGTAGTGTATTAGGCCCATTTCTATTTTCCATGTTTGTTTCACCTATATATTGTATTATAGCTAAATTTTGTAGAAATCATCATCAATATGCTGATGATACCCAACTTTATACTTTCCTCAGCCCTGGCAAAGATAGCATCAACAAAATCACTAAGTCTGCTAACGCAGTAACAACATGGTTTCTAGAAAATGGACTTCTGCTTAATGCAAATAAAACAGAAGCTATTTTATTTGGATCTAGAAAACAAACTAGCAAATATAAAAATGATTGGAATATTGCATTTTCTTGAACCACAATAACTACAATAAATTCAGTTTTCAAGCACATAAGCAATATTATTAAATCCTGCAATTACCAGATTCGTGCACTTCGCCACATTTGTCCATGTCTGACCAAAGAAGCTGCAAACATAATTGCTTGTGGCATCGTTAACTCTCAGCGTGACTATTGTAAAAGCATTTTATCTGGCACTTATCAAAAAAATCTTAATAAACTCCAACGAGTTCAAAATAACTTTTCTTGTATTGTTTTCCATTGTCCTTTCCATTTAAAATCAGAAATATTGCTGAAATCTCTTCATTGGTTACCAATACATCAAAGAATAATCTATAAAGTATCAGTTATCGCGTATAAAATTTTATTATCAAAATCTCCTGCATATTTATTTGAACTCCTAGAAGTCCGAACTTCAAAACAAAATACAAGATCATTAGACAGTTGCCAACTTACACGTCATCAACAAAAAACCTCCCTGGGCTCAAAATCTTTTTGTATGACTGCACCTCGAATTTGGAATGGTTTATCTTTAAATACACGAAATTCAACTTCTATAAAAGATTCAAAAATAGACTAAAATATGAACTTTTTATTAAGACTTTTTCAGACTCATAGTTTACTTGTTTAGTGCTTCTGAATTACTTCATCACTATTGTGATTGTTGTAAATAATGGCGCTTTAATCTCTGATTATTATTATTATTGTTATATATATATATATATATATATATATATATATATATATATATATATATATATATATATATATATATATATATATATATATATATATATATATATATATATATATATGTATATATATATATATATATATATATATATATATATATATATATATATATATATATATATATATATATATATATATATATATATATATATATATATATATCAGCCACATTCCACCATTTTTCCTAATAGATCTGTCTATAATAAATAAACAATCACCAGGAATATTTGTTACCAAAATATCTAATCACCAAATACACATTGCGCAGTTAAGTGTGGTGTGTGGTGTGTTGCATGGTGCATTTCATTTTAATTAACTACTTGTTAAATTTATTACTTGGAAATTCATTTTTGTACAAGTCATAAATGTTTTGTCCAATAAAATTTATGACTGCTCCTGTTGTAATTCTGTTTGTAATTTTCTTAAGTTTTTAAGCTACAAATTAAACAAAATGTATTTATATAGAGTATTTATTCCTTTATTAGTCAATATTAAACTTTTTGTTATTATTAGTATATAATTTTTATCAATAAAAACAAACCATCAACATACGATTTTCATCAATAATATTAATTTAATAGATATCATCAATTAAAAAAGTTTTAGTTATGTGTTGTATAAATTAAAATTTATAATTTGTAAAATATATAATTTATAATTATTTCAGTTTGTTTATCAATAAGTATCTTAATTTAAATTTTTTTTTAAAGAAAACAATTGCTGCAAGAGCTGATAAAAATGAAGATGAAACGGATGATTTGCATGCGCAAGATGCTGAAAAGCTATTAAGTGACATAAATGAGTGCAAAGCTAAGAACAATGGTAAGTTCTTAGTTGTTAAAAAAAAAACATTAAATTATAGATAGTTGATTGTTAAAAGCTTGTTTTTAGTTGTAATTACAGCGTTTATTACAATTACAATAAATTTATGTATGCCCCATAACAATACTAAAAAAATGTTAAATTTTTTTTTTAAGTTATAAATTTTTTGAATAATTTAAAATTTCTAATGTTGAGAGTTGTTATAACATTTATATATTTACATATGTTCAGATTTATATATTTACATATGTTCAGATTTATATATTTACATATGTTCAGATTTATATATTTACATATGTTCAGATTTATATATTTACATATGTTCAGATTTATATATTTACATATGTTCAGATTCATATATTTACATATGTTCAGATTTATATATTTACATATGTTCAGATTTATATATTTACATATTTTTTTTTTTTTTTTTTTTTTTTAACATCTTCACTTCCAACAAGGCTGCAAGCAACCACTATAAGAGTTGGAAGTTACTGGAAGAGAAAAGACTAAATCTGTAGAGCAAGATAACGATTGACTGATGACTTAAAAGATTGCAAATTATATGAATCAGGAAAGCAAGATGAAGGAAGCGAATTCCAAAGAACTGATGTTCGAGGAAAAAAACTAGAAGAATAAGAGTTTTTGAAGCACTTAGGAAAAGTCACAGAAAAAGGATGAGACTTAATTGAATGGCGAGTAACACGAGAGTGAATTTTAGTAGATGGCACAAGGGACGCTAGCTCTTTAGAGCAGTGCCCATTATAGTATTTGTAGAAAAGAGAAAGAGAAGCAACATTACGACGATGTGATAAAGGTTGGAGATTGGCTGCAAGAGCAGGTCCAACTATGTTTACAATTCGTTTTTGCACCTTGTCTAAAAGAGAAAGAGCATCATTAGAAGATCCGCCCCAGATGTGGCAACAGTATTCCATACAGGGACGGATTTGAGATTTATAGAGATAGAGAATAGAATCTGGAGTAAGAAAGTGTCGAGCTCGATAAAGAGATGCAACCTTAGCAGATGCTAATTTTGCAATGGATTTGATATACGGTTTAAAAGAAAGATCAGAAGTAAGAGTTAATCCTAGAAGATGAATGGTAGATGACTCATCTAGTACATTACCATTCATAAATATAGGAAGATCTAAATTATTACGATAACGATTGGCCGAATAAAATTGAGTTTTATCTGAATTAAAGTTCACCAGCCACTGTGAGCCCCATGCTGTAGCAGAAGTGAGATCCTTTTCAAGCTCAGATACCCCCTCCAAGCAATCAGAGAGTGTAGGCTTCTTATCATGACAAGAGTAAATGGTAGTGTCGTCAGCGAATAATGCCACCTTAGATGTGAGAATATCTGGAAGATCGTTAATGTAAATTAAAAAAAGTATAGGGCCAAGGATTGAACCTTGAGGAACCCCTGAAGTTACAGGATGTGAAGAAGAGTGTTGTCCATCGAGGACAACTTTTATACTACGATTGGAAAGAAAGGACTCAATAATCTTAAAGACGTTACCAGCTACACCATAAGAAGAAAGCTTATGGAGAAGACCAACATGCCAAACTTTATCAAAAGCTTTAGAAATGTCAATTTATAACATTTATATATTTACATATGTTCAGATTTATATATTTACATATTTATAACATTTATATATTTACATATGTTCAGATTTATATATTTACATATTTATAACATTTATATATTTACATATGTTCAGATTTATATATTTACATATTTATAACATTTATATATTTACATATGTTCAGATTTGCACTTTCAGATATTATATTTAGTGTTGTATTCATAGTTATTTTGTTGTATTTACATATTTTATGTTTAGTGTCATTTTACATGTTATAATAAATTTTTTTATTTAGTTAAATTATGTTGGTTTTATTTTTACATACATTTTATTATGTTAGTGTTGTTTTTAATTGATTTCTTGTAGGTCGCTTAGATGATGAATTCATTATAATGTTTTATAAAGAGAAGTTATCTTCAATGCCATGCCAAAATCAAGTTCTTTTATTAATTATATTTGTTTTACATAATAATGTTTTCTTTCTTTTTCTTTTTTTATAACTATAAAACCTGTATTGTTTTAATGTGTTAGGTCATTTGGAAAATAATGATGATTTTTTTGATAATAACTTTAAAGTGAAAAAGTTCAGAAAAAAAAATCATTTATTTAAAATAGTTTCCATTTGAATTTATACACTTCTGAAATGTTCAACAAACTTTTTAGTAAGCATTTTTTTATGAAAATTTTTTAATTCTTGACAGAGGTGTCTCCATGGCCGGGTTGCATAAAACTACTTTGATAACCTTTTTTGGATATAAACCTGACTTTAGCACATCTTTTGGAACCTCATATTTTTCTAAACATTAGTGTTCAGGGGCAACTATGATACAAGGTCCACTTCTCATCACAGGTTATTAATTGGTCTGAAAACAGTTTAATTTGGTTTTGCTGAAGCAAAGAAGATAAAGTTTCATGTCAACAAAATATTTGCTTTTCATTTAATTTATATAAGTTAAGTTTTTCATTAAGTTTACTCTTTGTCTGTAAAGTTACATTTCTAGAATGATTGATCTAACATAAATTTGTGCAATCTGAAACAGTAATTAGTCCCATCATGCTTTGTGATAACACATGGTCCTATCATGTTTGATGATAACACATGGTCCCATCATGCTTGATGATAATACATGATTGCTTGTAATAAGCTGCTTACACTGCATGTAAAAACTTTAAATCTAATCTCTCAGAAAAAAATGTTTAAATATAGACATGCTATTAGTTATCGTGAATATATATTTCTTTTTCTATTTTTATATTTTATTTTATCTTTATTAAAAATTTTTCTTGATTTTTCAAATTTTTAAAGGGTTACATTATTGATGGCTACCCAAAAACAATGGAGCAAGCACAACAGTTATTTACAGGTTTATTTATATTTAAAAAGTATTTTTCCAGGTGTGTATGTTAAAAAATACTAGACAATATGTAGAATTTAGTTTTGACTTTATATATTATATTCTTTAATAAATAATAAAACAAAACAAACAAATGTAAAATTTAGATAATAGAATTAAATTTGCGGTCAAATAGTAATAGATTTTCAATTTAAAGTTTTTATGTTAGTATGTTAGTATCAGGTAGTTTAATGAAGGGTTTCGGAAGGCTTTTTTTTTAGTTATTTATAAAGTAATTTACTCCAAACAGCGGTTACAGAAACATGCGCTGTTTCTCCAAACAGCAGTTGCAAGCAACCATGAACAGTGGTTGTAGTGAGTTATCAGAAAATAAAAAGCAAAATGGTTGACAGAAGGCAAAGAAAGAAACTAGATGAGTAAACGTTTTTAGATCACAAGGGAATAAAACTAGACAAATAAAAGTTTTTAGAGCATGCAGGGCAAATAAAGTAAAAAAATGTGACTGGTAAATGAAGTCAAACAAGAATGAGTTTTGATTGATAGAATAAGCAATAATAACTCGTTTGTAGCAGTGACTATGAATGTATTTGTAGAAAAGATAAAGAGATGCAACCTTACCATAATGGAATAGTAGCTCAATCTTGGCAGCTTGAGCAGATCCGACTACCTTTACAGTATATTTTTGTACCTTGTCTAGAAGAGAAAGGGCATCATTAGAAGAACCAGCCTAAATATGACAACATTATTTGAAACAGGGATGAAGATCTTTACAAGAGATTTGTAAAGATTTAGAATAAAGCAAGGGTTAGGAAATGAAGAGCATGAAAAAGAGGTTATTATATTATAGAGCTTATTAAACCCCCTCCCCTGTTTATTAATTTTCACTTGTTATCAACAAAAAATCAACATCTCAAAACTAAAAAAAAAAAAATCAGAAAATATATATAGTCTGAAAGTTTTTATTCTTTTAGTCACTGGTAAGTATAAAAACTTTCAGTGTAATCTTTAAAGTTGTTGATCTTTAAAAAATCTTGTAAATTTCAATTTCAAAAATTAGGTTTTTGTTTATTTCTCACCAAAGTATAAAAGTTGTGTAAGTGTGTTCTGAAAAAAATTCCCACCCTTTTATTAAGACCCCTCTGTTTATTAAATCTGGACTTAAATTTCCACCACCCCTTTTATTCCCACCCCAATCCCCTTCCTTGTATTAAGCACGCCAGAGTAACAGTTTTGTTCAGCAGTTTCAATTTTTTTGTACTAATAAAGTTTAATTAAAAAATTATAAATTAAGTTGTTTTATTTTTTTAAGTTTTTTATGTTATTTATGTAAAAAATATGAATTATGAAAGACTGAATTATTATTTTATTTTTAAAGTTTAACGTCTATGTTCCCACACTTGTTTGGTTTAGACAGGTTTACATAAATTTACAACTGGATTGCTTTTTAGGTATTAATCTGTTGTGCAGATCTGGATAGAGTATTTTTATTTTATTACTATTACTTGAAAATTACCCATTCAAGGTTTATGAACTCCTTCTATCCTTACCACAATTCAATATTTTATATCAGAGTTTTCCTTATCCTAGGTAAGTTACCTGCACCGCAGCTAAGGAGCCTGACCCATAAAACTCTACTGTTAAACATTTCAGGCAGGCAGTAAAGAGAACAAGTTATTAATACATATAGTAAATTTCAGTGTGTGAAAGATGAAATATCAAAATAAAAGTAGAAACAAATTTATTAATTTAAAACTTTAAATTGCAGTTGTGAAAAAATAAACTGTATTTAATATATGATTGCCCACTGTATTTAAATATATGATTGCCCACTGTATTTAAATATATGATTGCCCACTGTGTTTAATATATGATTGTCCACTGTATTTAATATATGGTTGCCCACTGTATTTAAATAGGCAAATAGTAACTCAATAATAACTTATAAAGACTTTTTAACATAAAAATATGATTTTCAACTTAAATTTTACATTCATTTGTTTAATTTCAATTCTTTAACTTATATATAAAGTTTGATAAAAAGCAAAAAAGAATTTTTATTTAATAAAAATTCTTTAGCTAAAAGTGATAAAAAAATTTATGAAATTTTACAAATTGTTAAAGACCATTACAAAGTTCATTGTATATTTAAATATATTACAAAATAGAATATAATTTTCTTAATAAATTTTTAAACAGTAAAAATATAAATTTTTTTTTGTAACTTAGCTGAGGAGGATCATGATGATTTGAGCGAAAGTCTTACTAAAGAAATCAATACACCAGGTGAGAGCATCTTTGGTTTTTTTTTTTTTTTTTTTTCTAAAACAACAAAAGGTATGTTTGAGTTATGTTTGCAGCAAGAATAAATGAATAAAATAATATAAAATAAAAATAAAATAAGAATGAAATAAATATATATTATTTCATTCTTAATTTTCATTCTTATATTGTCCTCCACATAATAATAAAAGTAAGTTGTAAAAAAACTCATGCCTGGGTATATTGTTTAAGTATTTTCGCCACTTTAAACTTAAATATTAAAGAAAATTGATAATTTTTTTATTTATTAAAACAAAATTTAAAAGTAACATGAAAAAATTGGAGTATGAAATTAAATAACAAAAAATGTAAAATCATGTTAGGTAAAATTTGCAGCAGCAAATCCAAAAAATCAATTGAACAAATAAATCAAGCTTACCCACATAACTACCTATGATAGACCAATAGCCAATTTAATATATATATATATATATATATATATATATATATATATATATATATATATATATATATATATATATATATATATATATATATATATATATATGTATATATATATATGTGTATATATATATATATATATATATATATATATATATATATATATATATATATATATATATATATATATATATATATATATATATATATTTGTATTCTAGAGTAAAAAATATTTTTGAAAGAACATAGCAATAAAATTAGTTGAAAATCACTTTTTTTTTAAATTTAACACATCAATAAAGAAATAAAATAAGTAAAAGAAAACAGATTAAAAAAATCAATGGTTTTATATAGAATTAGTCCATCCTTAAAACAGCAACTGTGTGTAAAAATATTTCCAAAAAAATGTATATTATGTCTACATAAAAAGTTTGAAATACACATACGTACCAAGAATGTTTATTAAATAAGAAATTAAAACGAAAATAAATTTCTTATAAAAAACTATTAAAATTAAGTGAGATGAAAAATATTTTATTAAGGATAGACCAATTCAAAATAAAAACATCAATTTTTTTATCTATTTTCTTTTATTTATTTTATTTTTATTTTATTCAATTTAAAGAAATTTGGTTTAAACCAAATTTTTTTCTAGTTCTGTCAAATCTTTAGGGGTTATCTCATAAGAGTTAGATTGGGAATGTAAGTATAATTAAATTGGACAAAATTAATAACAACTTATCACTGAAAAATATCACTGACATTATAAATTTGTTCTCCATGTAAACTCTGTACATTTATTTAATTTGACATTAATGATTTTTACCTCTCAATAACTGCAGATATTTTAGATAAAACAGTTAAGTTTTCAAAAATTCACACATTTATTCCAGAAGAGACAATTTGTATAATACAACATTGCAGAAAAGTCTTGCTTTATTTTAATAAAGAAACTTAGAAAAAGAAAAACATACATGACTGCTTTGATGTAACAATGGACAGTTATGACGGAGCAGAAATTTGTGAATTTGTTGGACTATATATTTTAAATTTATTAAGTAAAATAATTAATATTAATGATTTAAGCCTTTATTGTGATGATGATTTAATAGAAATGGTTAATAAATCTGGACCACAGCTTAAAATTAGAAAAGATATTAAATTTTTTTTTTTTTAAAATTGGCTTTCAAATTGAAATAAGCATAAGTTTAAAAATTGTGAATTTTTTTGATGTTACATTTAATCTCTCTGAAAATTCATATAAATTCATGAAAATTCGAATTGTTGTATATTAATATCAACTCAAATCATCCATTCCAAATTCTATAACAAATCCCTGATTCAATTAATAACAGGCCAAACCAAAGCTTCTCTGATGAAAATGTATTCAATTTCTCTAAACAACTTTTCAAAGATGCCCTTAAAAAAAGTGGATTTCAAAATTTTGAACTAAAATTTGAACCTGAAAAAAAAAAATACAAAAAAGCAAAATAGAACTAGAAATGTAATTTGGTTCAACCCCCATACAGCAAAACTAATTTCACTAACATAGAAAAAGTTTTTTTAATGTTGCTGAATAAACACCTCCCGCTTTCTTCTAAAATTTTTAATTAAAATACAATTAAAGTTAGCTGCAGCTGCATAAAAAAATGTCACAATAATGCTTTGTTAAATAAAAAAGAAATTATAACAGAAAATTCAAGAAAATTGTAATTGTAAACAAAAAAACAGTTGTCCAATAAGTAAAATAATATATTTTATTAACAGAGGATGAATGGAAAAAATGTTTCGAATCATCAGCATTCTTTTAAAAATAAAAAGTATTTAAAAGACATCATACTGTCAAAACACATATGGGAATTGAAATATAAAAATATTATTGATTTTATATTGAATTGGTCCATCCTTAAAACAGCACCTGCATATAATATTGTTCCAATAAATGTATATTATGCCTACAAGAAAAATTTCAAATAACTATGCATGCAAACCAAGAATGTTTATTAAACAAAAAATTGGAATTGATTTCAAATGCAGGCATGAAAATAAGTTTCTCCTAAAAAACTATAAAAGTAAGTGAGCTAAAAAAATAGTTTTATTAAATCCCCCTTTAAAAAATAATAAAAAATTCTGAAGAACTTGTTTTATAATAGTGTCAGCATTATCCACAAAGGTATGAAAATTTACAGTAGCTAAGACACTTATAACTTCTTATAATTAAATTTTAGGTATAAATTGAAGTTTTATTAATTTAAACATTCTTTCTGATGAGTCAATTGATGAAACACAGTGTAAAATGAAAAAAGTTTGCTAGGTTATTTTCTACTAATTTATATATGTATGTATATAGTGTGTGTATTATTTGTTTAACACCCATGCTTCCACACTTATGTGGCAAGGAATGAGTTCCATAATACTATTTAAAAATGGTTGTATGTATGACAAATACAACAATTTTTAACCATTCTCTGTTTATTGAGCTAATTTTGATATTACCATTGTAGAATAATCTATATAATCAACCCTCAGTAGCGTTATATTCTAAAGTAAATTATAAGATTAACTTTTATTAATAAGATTTGTAATGTTTATTTTTTTTTCTTAAACAAGGCATTGTTTTTTTTCTGTCCTTTTTTTATACTTTTTAAATGTCTAAAAAAAAAAAATTTCATATATAAACCCTGTCTTTAGTAGTCTTTTGAATTTATAAGCATTCTTGAGTTTTAAATTGTTTTTTTTCAAATTTGTTTATTACAAAGTAATTGTGAAAATAATTATAAAAAACTTTGTTTCTTCTTCAAACATCTCATTCTTGACTCATTGCATAGATTTTGCTTGTGTCTGTTTTTATGACTAGGCAACTCATTCTATTATCTCCTAATGAGGGTACAACTGTAAAACCTAGTTTTATGGTTCTAAGGCCGGCTAATAGTCAGGTTATCTGAACTCTGTTGTAGCTCTCAGAGGTGATTCCATCAATAGTAGTAAAATATCAGAGTACTAACAGTGCTATGTTTTACTTTTAGGGCGCATTGTCAAAGCCACATTTGGAGCCTTTTGTTACGGCTTTATTTATAGTACAGGTTTATTAATAGTGATGAGGCAATTGCTTGGACTATCAAATAGTGTACTGAGTACTATATGTACTTTGAGTCAAGTTTTTTAACAAGTTTAAAAATGACTAAAGTATCATAAACTATAAAACACAAAAAACATAGTCATCACCAAGTTCTCTAATTCTATCATTTACTAATATTTGTGGTCTTCAAAGTAATTTTTTTTTCTGTTGAGTCTTATCTCTTGCAAAGTTCACCAGACCTACTTGCTCTTTGTGAAACTAATTTGAGACCAGTTGTCTCATCTTGTGATCTTAGTGTTGATGGTTATCTTCCTTTAATTCATAAAGGCTTCAATATTCACATGCTTGGCTTGTGCATTTGCATTTTTAAGAATTTACCCATTTGTCGAGAGACTAGGTTTGAATCCACTGACTATTATTTATGCACTTTTGTTTAGGACCACTTCACTCTATTATCTTTCTCTTTGTTCTATATTGCTTATCTCTTCTATATTGCTTATCTCTTTGCTTATCTCTTCTATATTGTTCTATATTGCTTTTCTTATATTCCTTTATCTCAAGACTGCACTCTTTTGTTATTTCTGATCAAATTGACCAAGTCCTTTCTCTTTATCTTTCAGCCAATATCGTTGTTGTTGGCTCATCACACTAAATGGCTATGTTTTGTGTCAGTGACTCTGTAGGAGTTAAGGCCCACAACTTTTGCCTTTCTCAATCTCTAACACAAATAATCAACTTTTCAACTTGCTTTCCTGACAATCCGAATCATTTATATTCTCTACTTGACTTGTGTCTTGCTTTTGATCCTAGTCATTGCTCATTTTCTCCACATTCACGTTTAGGTGCTTCTGATTATGGTTTGATCTCTCCAAAACTGTTATCTTATTCTTCTTCATCATCAGAATCCCCCTATTGTTGTACCTCTTACAACTACCTTAAACAGGGTTCCCACTTGGCATGCAAAATATGCAAAGCATGCAATTGTTTATATGTGCAGGCAAAGCATGTAAAAGTATACATTTTTGTTAAATAATCATGCAAAAATAGTGAGAAATAATTTTTAAATGAAGTTTTTCAAAACTCAAAGTTTAAGTCATTTAGTTTATTCCTCATTTTGTATAAGGTTTAAAAAAAAATCATTTATTAAACACTCATGTTTTAAGTTTTTTAATTTATGTTTTTTTATTATTCATAAAGATTTATTTTTCATAAAGATCTAATTTATTTAAAATCTGTTTATGTTTAAAAATTTATTAGTTAAAGTATTTTAAAGTTTGTATTTTTAAATATTTGCTATTTTACTAGTTTACTATTAGTTAAAATATATAAATGGGTAAGATCATTTACTAAACATTTTGGGCAGATTCAAATGGCTTTTAGCTGTGAACCACTTTTTAAGTTCATTGCAATTATTGGAAGACTTTTTTTAGTCTTCTAGTGGTATTAGTTATATCTTCTAGTGGTATTAGTTATATCTTCTAGTGGTATTAGTTATATCTTTTAGTGGATGTTATATCAAAAAAGTAAGCAAAAATGATCACAAAAATCAATGGATCCTCCCACACTTCAGCGTTGTAAAGTTGGAAAAAGAGATGTTGCACCAATATTGGCAAGTGTTAGTATGTCGATATTGCTCCAATGTTGTTTATCCAATATTAGAATGCCAATATTGGAGCTGTATTGGCATGCTTATTTTGACCATTATTGATGTGCCAATATTGGTTCATTAGCTTTTATTATTGATTTTTTTACATAGTTGTACACATACCTAACAAATGTTGTTAAGAAAATAAATTGTTTTAACACTTTTTTTATGATTATGGGCTTATTAGATTTTTAACTACAGTAATTACTCTGAAAACAGCATAAAATTGTTTTATAGAATTCTAAAGGTTTTAAATCACCATAATGAATAATTCACAATAAAAGTTATAAAGATATATTATAATCTTTGTTGCGTTATGTTTTGTTTTAGTTTTATTTGGTCATTTTTTGCTTTTTCAAGTTTTTATAAACCCACAAGTAACAATGTATATAAAATGTCAACCATTATTTTCTTTATCATTTATTTTTCTTTGTTAATAATGTTGTTTACTTAATCTTTATAAGGAGTCCTTCATTTTTTTTATGATGGGCATGTGTATTTAGTTAAATAAAGCATAATAAAGATAAAAAACATATTAGCAATGATCCTAATAAAATATCTAACAATCAAAAACAGTTCAATGATTTCAGACTGTTCTGATAACATATTGATATCTGACATCATATTGCGGTTCTCTTTTAATTGGTCATTGTGACCACATCCAACTAGTTGATCATTATTTTGAAACTGACTTAGAGTTGGATTCCTTACATCTTTTACATGCAGACCAAATGTTAACAAAGCTTTTGAAATGAAGTTTAAAAAGAACCTTCATAAAGTTCTATAAACTGTTTATAGAAAAAGCTTTCCTCAGATTTAGATGAATTTTTTCTTGATATTCACTTTTTTTAAAAAACTGTCTAGTGCAAGGTGTGAAGATTATGTTAATTTAGTTAAAGTAACTAATTTAGTTGCTAAGTTTGCCAAAAAACATGATTAAACTTGATGACTTTTAACAATAACATAACATAAACTTGCATAACTTAAACTGACTGGAAAGTTTCAAATACTCTAATTATGTCTCGAATATGAACACTGGCAATGTGTAGCAGCGTTTGAACATAGAGATCAAAATAAAAATAAACAACAATAAACAATATTAGTACTAAACAATAAACAACCAAATTAGTACCAAATTAAGTCCATTATCCAGAATATATTAATTTTAGTTTTATTTATTATATTTATTTACTACAGCCTTTACTATTTTTGTAAATATTAATTAGTTAACAATTTAAGTTTTATTTAGTTAACAATATAATTATAATTATAGACAAAAATCTTGAATTTTTTTTTTATACGTTTTCACTAATAAATTTTACTTAAACTGTTTATATCACTAAACATGTTTTGTTTTTGTTTATTAGTCATTTTATTTTTAATATTTGGTGTTTATGCATTCATTAGATTTTGTTGCATAAACAATAACATAAGGAAAAATCTGTTATTTCACTTCTCTTGCAGGATCCAGATTTTGTTACCTCATCTAAAAACAAAGCTGAATTGTTTGCTAAGAACTTTTTGTCAATCTCATCTCTTGATTCCATTAATCACATCCTACCTGATATAGTCAGCAAACAGGTTGATCCATTGCTCGAGAATTGTATTACTCCAGCTTCTGTATTTAAAGTGATTTCCTGCTTAGACTCTTCTACAGCTTGTGGTCCAGACAACATACCTGTTATAGTCTTGCAGAAGTATTTCTTCGGAGCTGTTGTCTATACTTTCAAAACTATTTAACAAGTGCTTAGCAAAGCCTTGCTTTCCAGCCTGCTGGAAAGCGGCATCTGTTATTTTCAAAAGTTCTGGAGAGCAATCTGACTTGTCTAACTACCGTCCCATTAGTCTTCTTCCTATCATAAGCAAGGCTTTTGAATCTTTAATTAATAAACACTTAGTCTCTCATCTTGAATCCAAAAAATTACTTTCTGATCATCAATATGGATTTTGATCTTCTTGTTCTACTGCTGATTTGTTAGCGGTAATAACTGATAGATTTTAATTTGCATTAGATGTGGAGAGTTTAAGGTTATCCCTCTCAACATTTCTAAAGCCTTTGATAAAGTATGGTATGTTGATCATTTCCATAAGCTCTCTTCTAACGATGTATCAGGTAAAATCTTCAAGATTACTGAATCCTTCCTTCCTAATCATAGTATAAAAGTTATCCTTGATGGAAATTCTTACATCCAAGGTGGCATTGTTCACTGATGGTACTACCATTTATTCTTGTCTTGAAAACAAGCCAACACTCTCTGGTTGCTTAGAGGCAGCATTTGATCTTGAAAAGGATCTCACTTCTAATACAGCATGAGGCTCTCAATAGCTGGTAAATTTTACCTCAGATAGAACTCCATTTTTTTTCAGCTAATCATTATCTTAACAATCTAGATCTTCCTATATTTATGAACAGTAATGTATTGATAAGTCATCTACCTTTTGTCTTCTAGGATTAATACTTACTTCCAATCTTTCTTGGAAACCATATATCAAATCCATTGCAAAATTAGCATCTGCAGAGTTGCATCTTTTTATTGTGCTCACTACTTTTTTACTCTGGATTGTATTCTCTATCTCTATAAATCTCAAATCTGTCCTTGTATGGAACACTGTTGCCATATCTGGGGCGGATCTTCGAATGATGCTCTTTCTCATTTAGATAAGGTGCAAAAACACATTGTAAACATAGTTGGACCTGCATTTGCAGCCAACCTTCAACCTTTGCCACATCGTTGTAATGTTGCTTCTTTTTCTCTTTTCAATAAATACTATAATGGGAACTGCTCTAAAGAGCTAGCCTCTCTTGTGCCATCTACGAAAATTTTTTCTTGTATTACTTGTCATTTAATTTAAGTCTCATCCTTTTACTGTTTCTAAGTGTTCTGAAAACTCTTATTTGTCTAGTTTTTTTCCTAGCATGTTTTAATACACAATCACAAATGTTTTAATACAACAATCATGTGCAAAGTTAAAATTTTTTAAAAGTTCAATTTTTATTCTTATATTGATGAGTGGCAACCCTCTCACTCAGTCCTCTTCTTTACGACTTCTTGGATTATCATTCACTACTGACCTCTCATGGAGAACATATATACAATCGATTGCTTGATACTATCATGGTCGCTGCTCAAAGGAGCTATCAACACTAGTTCCATCAACCAAAACTCATTTTTGCTTGACTCATCATTCAGCAAAGTCTTATTCTTTTACTCTAAAAACTTTTATTTGTATAACTCCCAACTTAATAGTGGTTGCTTGCAACCTTGTTGGGAGTGAATCAGAATAAATTTTTTTTTTTAACTAAAAACCTTTGATATTTTTCATATTTTGTTAAATTTTATTTTGGTATACAATTTTGCTATTATTATTATTATTTTATTTTTGTTATTATAATGTGATAATATTTATATATATTATTTGATATACGCAAACATGACTCAAAAAGATTTTCCTTTTGCAATCTTGATTAAATAAGGTTAAATCTTGATTAAATAAGGTTAAATCTTGATTAAATAGGGTTTTGACACTTTTAAAGACTATAATTATCTTAGTTTTGAAAATATTGGTTAGTGTACAATTTTTATTCATCTTGTATGAATACAGTTTTAACATTTCATGAATATAAATGTTGATCTCTAAGTTTATTTTAAGAGTTCCTGATTGCTTTAAATGCATATGATGACTTTCTTCGAAGTAGAGTGATAAATCTTCCAGAATCAGTTGTAAGTGGCACTCATAACACTGAAGAAGAATGGCATAGGCGTTTAGCAGAATATCGTGCATTAAACACTGAGGATGATTCTGTGTTAAATTATTTTGATGAGTTAGAGATTCATCCTGAGTATATTGGTAAATTTTAAATGTGTTTTATATATATGTGTGTGTGTGTGTGTGTGTGTGTGTGTGTATTTAATCGCTTGAAAATAAACAAAGTATATTACAAAAAGACTATTTAAAGACAAATTAATATATAAATGTTAATATTAATGTTAATGAATGGTTTGAATTTAATACTTTTATACTTTAAGATGTTACACAAGATTTCTCATACTGTATGAAACAGACAGTGGAAAAAATCATTCAAATTTTGGGCAAACCGCGTAACTATGGTAACTAAAATATTGGAAATATTGTTTAATTTTTTCATAAGAACAACAAGTTATAAATTTATATTTTAACCTAATTTATTGATATTAATTAAGGAGTAAATAAGTTATTAAGATCATTAAGTTTAAAGTTTTTAATATATTAATAGAAATAAAAATTTTTATTTATCAGATGGAAATCTGCGCATAAAAAAAGTTGTTTTAAGTGTGCTAATTTAAAGATTGTTTTAAATTTAAGAAATTTTATTTTAACTTAAAGAACTGTTGATTACAATAAGAATAATATTTTATTCACTTTTTAATTTTATCATTTTCTTATGAATGGTAAAATGTTTATTTATATATTGTAAGTATAAAAATACAATCATTAGAGAATCTGTTTAGGCTTGACAGCAGAAGAAATTGAAGAAATAAAAAGAAGAGAACGTGAAAAATTGGTGACTTAATATATTTTTTATTCACTATAGCAAAAATTTTATTGATTATAATGCATTTTACAGAACTATAGTGAGGTTATTAAGAGACTATTAAGAAAGAAACTGGGGTGGGGGACTTTTTTTTTTTTAATTTAACAGTTAAGTGCTACTTTCTAGGTAGATGAATTATGTCGCAAAGAAAAAGAAAAAGAAATGTTGGAGGCTGAAGAAGCCAGAGATCGTGCTAAGAAACTTGAAGAGTGGGTATGGTGTTTTCATAAAGTTTATCATTAGTAAATATAACTATTTGCAAAATGTAATGATTTACTAATAAATATTTAGAGAGCCAAATTAAATGTAGTTAAACAACAGGAAGAGGAAATACTTGAAATACAGTCAATCCCTCTTCGCAATTATTTGATGAAACATGTTATGCCAACTCTAACAGAAGGTTTAATTGAATGCTGCAAGTTGAGACCTGAGGATCCCGTAGATTTTTTGGTATGTTTTTTCATTAAGTAAATTTTTTTTTATAATATAGTTTAGGAATTTAATCTTGTCTAACAGCGCACTATTTATAAAAAAAATCTGAATATTGTTTGTCTATGTAAATTTGTAAATGATAATATAATTTAATTTGAAGAAAGTATGATTTGTGGGTAGATTTATGATTCAGCAAAGAGAGAAAACATTTTTGAGGTTATTATTCAAAACTTTTTTGTTCTCATAAAATTTTTCATAAGATCATAAAATTTTTGATTGCTCAAGCACTTATGCTTTAATTCAGAAAGTTCTAAATTTTTAAATTGAATATATATATATATATATATATATATATATATATATATATATATATATATATATATATATATATATATATATATATATATATATATATAATAGTATATAATATATCAATTGATAGATATTAAACTATTATAAATAGTTTGAATATTCAGTTTACTTTGTTTAGCTAAACAAAATATGATTTTTTTTTTTTGACTTTTATCAGACCTTTATCTGATGTATGGTAAAACCTTTCTGTTACAACAGTTAGCAAGTCAGCTGGAGAGAGAGTAACTCATTCGATTCAAGATAAGATGTTAGAAATTTGTTGATTAAAAACTCAAAAACCTCAAAAACCTAGATATAGAAAGAAGATTGTCTAAACAAAAGTTGGGGGTTTCTCTTTTTAAAAGTTGGTTTTTTAAACTCTTTTCAACACTATTGTAAGACTATGACAGGATTGTTTTGGATATCTAACAATGGGTTAACTTGTTTAACTGGAATGCCAAGAAGATTTTGGTCATTCGATTTGAGGGACAAGCTAATAGTAAAATTCTATGCAAATAGTTCTGTCTTATCCTTGGAAAAGGTAATAAGATTAGACCCATGTATTTGAGATGGGTACATAGTTAGACCTTTGTTAATGAAACTTTTGAAGATCTTCCAAAAGTCTCTAGAACCTAACTTTTGAGATACAAGATTTAGTAAACTGAGAATATTAGAGATTAGCATCAGACAAAACCTTTTTACATTGATTTCTTGTAATAATAGAAGTGTTTGTTCTCATAAAAGTTGTATAAAAGATGAAAAAACAATTAGAAAAAGCAACTGCATATAAAGATAATAACCACGAAGTATATTGAGGGTCGACAACAAGAAACCAACAAGAGGTAATAAAAAATTCCATACCAGTTTCCGGTTTCCATACCAGTCTCCAGTATCCAGGTGTCTTTATCCAGAAGGATATGTGTAGAAAGGGCATTTTTTAGTGAAGAGTTAAAAGGCATCAGCCCAAAGATAGTTACAAAGAAAATCACAAAAACTATCCTAGTCAGCTTTAGCTTTAGTAAATAGTGTGATGATGAGTCCAAAAAAGAAGTACAATATAAAAGATTTAGACAGATCATTGCATGGCTCAAACCACCTAAATAAGAGCAAAGTGAAACTGAACACTAGGGTAAGAGATAAAACATAAATCAAGAAGGGAAGGAAAGTGATTATAAAGAAAGTGGGTTGTCTGATAAAAAAAACGTCATATTAATTATCTGAGTAAGAGACATACAGAAGTTTTAAGCTTTAGTAACCAACAACAATAATATTGGCTGATGGATAAAGAGAAAGGGCTTGGGATTGGGTTTTGGTCAAGTTGATCAAAAAAGAATAGTCAAAGGATTAAAACCTGAATTCACGGCAAATTGATGATGACAAGTATATGCCTAGGTAAATTGTTAATGATAAACATATGCCCAGGCTAATCATGTTACTATTAGAGTTTTTACAAATCAAAAGATAATAACCCTCAACACTGAGATCCAAAGATGAATTGGTTGAATTCATATTTGTCTCTCAAAAAGCAAATCTCAAAAATTTACACTAAATGCACTAATAGGGATGTCATTCATGCGCAACATGGCACTGTTAATCTGATATTTTACAGCTTTTGATGGAATCAGCCTATGAAAGCTACCATAGGGTTCTAAAACCTTGCTACTACCTGGCCTCAGAACCATTAAACTGAGTTTTAGAGCTATACTTTCATTAAAAGGTATCAAGAAGAGTTGCATAGCCACTATCACAAAAACCCTTGAGTAGTGTCAAAAAAATTCATTATTCATCATCCTAAGCAGGAAACAATGTAAAAAAGGTTTACATCTATGCCAGCCTAATAATGAAAAATGATTGATGTTGATGATGCAAAATGATTGATGTTGATGATGCAAAAGTAATTGGTGTTGATGGTGCAAAAATGATTGATGTTGATGATGCAAAAGGAATGATGTTGATGATGCAAAAATAACAGATGTTTGATGATGCCAAAATGATTGATGTTGATAAGGCAAAAAGATTGATGTTGATGATACAAAAGGATTGATGATGCAAAAGGATTAATGTTAATGATACAAAATATTCTCAACAATCTTCATTGGATGTATCATTGTCATATTCACTATTTGACAAATCTGATTCTAAGGAATTTTCATTATCACACAAAATTTTATTTCCAACCTGATGTGGCGGTGTTGCAGAAAGCAATTTTTTTTTCAATGTTATTTAACCTCCCTTAAGACCATGAAGACCACTAAAGTTATTTTTTTGAGGGCTTGTCAGCTATAGTTCAGATATAAAAAAGTGGCAAGTTAAAAGAATGAAGATAAATCTACTGTCTAGTAAAATTCAGAAGAAATCAAGCTAAAATTCGATTAAACTCGTAACCTCTCGCTTTTGAAGCGAGCGCTCTACCACTACACCACTACCACTTAGTTGAGAGAGGGTTGGTAACCATAATTCAAGTAGTCTCTAGACTACTTAAGTTGGTAACCATAATTCAAGTAGTCTCTAGACTACTTGAATTATGGTTACCAACCCTCTCTCAACTAAGTGGTAGTGGTGTAGTGGTAGAGCGCTCGCTTCAAAAGCGAGAGGTTACGAGTTTAATCGAATTTTAGCTTGTTTTCTTCTGAATGTTACTAGACAGTAGATTTATCTTCATTCTTTTAACTTGCTACTTTTTTATATCTGAACTATAGCTGACAAGCCCTCAAAAAAATAAATTCGTGCATGCAAAATAAACTAGTCAAAACCCTGTTCTTTTATAACAATAAAGTCTTTTAAATTACTATACATCATTTTGAGAGTTGTGCCACCAATATATTACTTTTGTTGAAATGCAGTTAAAGTGTTTCAAAGTTTCCATCTTTTATTGAGAGTATAAGTATTGCACAATTTCCATCCTCCATTGAGACTATAAATATTGCACAATTTCCATATTCATTGAGAGTTAATGTTTAACAATACTTTGAAGTTTGCTAAGAATTAAAGACTTTGGAATTTCTTTCAAAACTTGGTTTCTGTTGTAGTAAATGTTTTTATAAATTTTCTTGCTTATGTTTGCCATTCTTAAAAGAAGAGCACGGATGGTCTGAAAAAAATTAAGTTACAAAAAATTGTAGATTGATCCTGTGATAAATTATACATTTAGGAAGGAAGGGAGGGAACTAAGGCAAATAAAAGAAAAGAAAAAAAGCAGCAATTCAAATATAATCTTTTTTTTTTAAATCATTGTAATAGAATCCATTTTTAGTGGACTGAGGACGAATTTAGAAATTTTTATAAATTTTGCACATGTTTTATTTTTTATTTCAGCGAATTTTATTAGCGTATTAGTTCATTCAGATTGATAAAAGACATCAATTTTCTTGCCTCTAGTTTTCAGTCGTTTCCCAAAATTTTTATGACAACAAAATGTACTGGCTTCTCTCTTCCAATTGGTCGCCGTCGGGGATTTTTTTTTTGATGCAAAATATATCAGAGGCCGCCTCTTATTGGAAGTTGGTAGCCATCGGTATCCGCCAGAAGATATTTTAGAGACAAATCATGATTTGAAGGCCATCTTCAGTGCTTGCCAACTTCTGCTTTCTAATTGGAGGTGAATTTTTTGCATCAAACTGCCAGACAAGATAAAAAAGTTTCTAACGTATTTTTAAATTAAAAATGAAATTTTGGCAATAAATCATATAAAGCGCAACTTTGATAACAATATTAAATATTTAAATTATTTGTTGAAAAAAGTAGTATTCTGCCTTTCGGGAGAATGTTTCTTTGCCGCCAGTAAGCGTAATCAATTCTGGATTCAATTATGTTATTACATTTTTAAATATTGTATACTTATTTCATTTATTTTTAGGCGGAGTTTTTATTTGAAAAGAATCCTCAAGTAAATTTATAAACGATTTTCAAAAATTGATATCCAAGTGAAATTGTTCAATTTTTTTTTTGTTCAAAACGTTTTGTGTATATTTATTATTTTTAATTTCTTACGGAGAAAAATGTTTTATTTTTTGTATTATTGTTTAATTATAAAACCATTTATTTATAACCATTTATTTTTATTTATAACTATTTTTATTTTTCAATGTAGCGAACGTTTAAAAATTAGGTAAAGACTTTTTGATCTGTAATGGACCTTTTTTAGGAATTAATTAATAAGCCCTAGCTTAACTCAAGTAAAAAATCAAAAAAAATTCAACAGTAAGTTTGATTTCTTACTGTTGAAATCATCAGTTTATATTTACCTATAAACAAAATTAACAAGTTGTTTTCATTCGCAGTTACCTAATAAAATTAAATATTTAGATTATGTATTCAAGTATAGTAAATAAATAATAAGCTGTAGACCGCTAATAAAAGCAAAATTTTCGATTGTATATGCAGTAGCGTCCAAAAACATGCGGTCAGGCCAGAAGAAAATGTATTTCACTTATAGTTCAGTACATATTCTACTAAGTTCAGTACATATTTAAATAAAACCAACATATATACGAATAAAAAGGTTTTCATGTTTACTATTATATATATATTATATATATATCTAAATTTTAAATATATATATATATATATATATATATATATATATATATATATATATATATATATATATATATATATATATATATATATATATATTATATAGGGGGGGGGGGGGGCATAACATTTTTTGTTATTGCTTTTTTTCCTGTTATCTATTATGTAAAAATCAAGATATGTAAGATATAAAATAAAGAGAAGAAAAAAATTATATGTCCGTGGAAAAAAGAAAACAATTTAAACTTGTCAGCACCGTTATGAAAATGTAGTGTGTAAACTACGAAACATGCTAAGATTGAAAAATATCGTGTTTTTCATACAAATAAGCAATTAATTATTTCGGAAAAAACGTAATTAGGTTTTTTCCGAAACTGTAACGAAGTATCACTTCGTTACAGTTTCGGAAAAAACCTAATTAAGTTTTTAATTATATATATATATATATATATATATATATATATATATATATATATATTTATATATATATATATATATATATATATTATATATATATCTATATATATATATATATATATATATATTATATATATAAAATATATATATATATATATATATATATATGTATATCTAAATTTTCTAAGGGGGGGTCATAACATTTTTTGTTATTGCTTTTTTTAGCAAAAAATAAATAAAGAAACAAGCTCAAAATTGAGCTTGTTTATTTATTTATTTTATTTTATTTGCCGTATAATATTATTTACATCAAGATTTATACTACTATACGGACAGGACTTCAAGAAGATCGTAATGATCTTATCACGAAGCCCTTAACAAAATTCTATTTTCTTATTCAATAAAAACATCTATATATTATATACAATAAATATATACCGAGAATATATAATCACTAAATATATCATAAATTTGACACTACATACTTCAGAAGTGAAACTCAAAATAAAACATAACAAATCATTATGCAGTATAGCAACTAAAATTTTTTTTTTTTTTTTTTTTTTTTTTTTTAAATCAAAAAAAATCAAAAATATTTTTTGTTGAAAAAAATGGTTTTTTTAATAGATTGTTTGAAAAAGGAATAGGTCAATTTAGATGAAAAAATAAAATTAGGCCGTACTATTTCATTCCAGAGAAAAGGTCCACGATAAGATATACAAAATTGAGCTTGTTTATTATTGCAAAAAGGTTTTTCTAAAAAGCTATTATTACGTAGGTTATATTTGTTTTGGGGTTTAATCTTATAAAGGTTTACGGGGGACGTAAGTTCTTTACATTTGTACATAAAACACAAAACATTAAATACATTTAGTTGATAAACATTTAAAACGTTTTTTTAAAAAACGGTTCAGAGTTCGAAAAACGATTTTTAAAATTTATTATGCGAGCTGCGTGTTTCTGATGCCGATAAAGAGATTTAAGTTTAGTTTTATGTGTACTTCCCCATATAATATTTTCATAATTGATATGACAGTGAATAAAAGAGTAATATAATTGTGTTAATTGCTTTTTGTTTAAAATACCTCTAGATTTGTATAGAATTCCAATGTTTTTTGCAACTTTATTAGAAATATTATTGATGTGTGACTTCCAAGATTTTCTTCAATAAAACTCCCAAAAATTTTGTCACTTTTTCTCTTTTTAGAATGACATTGTCTATAAAAAGATTAGGCATATTTACAGGCAGTATCTGTTTTTATAGCTTGGATGGAAAAGTATCCATTTTTTCAATATTTAAAGATAGCCTATTTTTTTTGAACCAAATTGAAATTTTTTTTAAGTTCTCTGTTCATATTATTAAAAAGTAGGTTTATATTTTCATGTGACTGAAACAATTTGTGTCATCTGCAAAAATTATAGTCTTTAAATTGGATGCTTTGTTAAGATCATTTATATATATAATGAAAAGAAGTGGTCCAAGTATGGATCCTTGTGGGACACCATATGTTATGTTCATTAATGTTTGAGGTTGGGAATCTTTATCAAAAACAAATTGCTTTCGGTTGGAGAGATAACTTTTGAACCAACTTAGAGTTTTACCTGCTATGCCATAACATTCAAGTTTTTTAAGCAAAATATTATGATCGACCGTGTCAAAAGCTTTTGACAGGTCAATGAAAATACCAAGCGCAAATTTTTGATTTTTAAAAGATTCTTTAATATAACGTGTTAATTGAAGAATAGCATGTTCGGTTGAGTTGTTTTTTTTTAAACCGAACTGATTTTTATAAAGAAGCTTATTGGTAATTAGGTATGTGTACACTCTGTTATGCATTATTCTTTCTAATATTTTTGAAAAAACTGGAAGAACAGAAATAGGTCTGTAATTTGTTATATTGGCCGGGTCTCCTGTTTTAAAAATAGGAATTACTTTTGCTATTTTCAGAGAGTCTGGGAAAGAACCTTGTTTAATGGATGATTTAAAGATTTTGTAAAGAATATCCTTCATGACATCATAAGAGTCTATTACAATATTTCCATTTATACCGTCAGGTCCTACTGATTTATTTTTTTTTAACGATCTAAAAGCTGTATTAAATTCCTCAAGCGTTAGGTTTGTAAAATGTAAGGAGTTTGACGTTTGACGTTCATCTGTTAATTTATAATTTAATAAAGGGATTTTGTTTGATAAATTTGTTCCTATAGTGGAAAAAAATTTGTTAAATTCAGTCGCAATTTCATTAGAACTATTAGTTATTTTATTTCCAACTTTTATTGCAAGTGGAAGAGAAGTTGAAATTACTTTTTGCTTTCCTGTAATTTCTTTCATTAATTCCCAGAGTTTTTAAGTTATGTTTGTGTTGAGTAAGCAATTTAGAATAATAATTTTTTCTAGCATTTTTGCGGAGTTTTTCAAACAGTTTTTTGTAGTTTTTGTAATTTTGTTGATGTTTTTCAGATTTTGTTTTCAAGTATTTATTATACAACTTTTGTTTTAGTTTTGAAGACTTTTTTAGTCCCTTAGTTATCCAAGGAGACAATATGTCTTTGGCCTTGAGATTTATTTCACATATTGGAAAATTAGCGTCATAGATTTTAAAGAAAGTTTTAAAAAATGTGTTATAGATAATGTTTATGTTATCATTAAAATTTATGTGATTCCAGTCCTGCTGTGAAATTTGATCTTTGAATGATTTTAAGTTACAATTGTTCACAATTCGCTTTTTTATTGTCATTTTATCCTCGTTTTTTATTTGATGTTCTGATTTAATAGAAAAAAATACGGGAAAATGATCTGAAACATCAGTTTTTATAATTCCTTTTTTTAAAGATTTATTAAAACAGTCTGCGGTTAATATATTATCAATTAAAGTTGACGAATGGTTTGTAATTCTAGTCGGTCTATCTATTATTGGTATGGTTCCCATTTCAAATAAATTGTTATAAAATGTTTTTATGTTTTGGTTTTCTTTATATTCAAAACAATCCAAATTGAAGTCACCCAAAATATAACTTTTTTTTTCTTGACTAGTTTTTTCTATTAGATTGTATTTCAAAAATTTACTAAGATTTTCTGTTCTACCAGTTGGTGGCCTATAGCAACAGCTGATTAAAATGCTTTTAGAATTTTTGTTTATTAGTTCAATTGTTAAGATCTCTTGATCCGTATCAGAAACACTCGTATCACTTCTAACTTTATAGAAAGTATTTTCTTTGAAATAAAAAAGTACTCCTCCTCCTCGCCTATTATTCTTTCGTTCTAACAAATTTTCTTTAAAACCTGGGAGAAGGAGATTAAAATCTATTTAGAACACCAAGTTTCGGTTACACAAATTACGTTAAAACAATTGTTCGTTTCGTCAATTAAATTTAAAAAATTTTCAAAATTCTTTTTTAAACTTCTAATATTCACACGAATGACATTAAAATTTTTATTATTCACTTCTATAAAGTTACAAACTTCATTTGGTTGAAAATAAGAGCATACTAATTCAGGCAAATTAATTTCGTTAAAGAAATTTATGTCTGGATCGGAATCGTCATCCGATTTAAATTCATTAATTTGAAAAAATTTAAAAGCATTTTCAAAATTATTATTTTTCGAATTTATTTTTTATTATTATTTACTTTTTTTATTCTGTTATAAATAACCGTGGATATAATTTGTTTTAAGACGGCTTAGTGATTATTTTATTGTGCACAACTTTAGCGAATTTACCTGATGCTCGTAGGTCTTTAGCTTGACGGAATAGTTGTTTTCGAATACTAGTTGTCCGCTCGCTGAAATCTTCGTTTATATACATGTTTTCTTTCCACAATTTCTTTTTTTTGTATTTTTCGAGAATTTTTTCACGATCTTTAAAATTGAGAAACTTGACGACAATAGTTCGCTTTCTACGTTTACCTTCTTCGTGTTCTTTTCTTCCAGCACGATGCGCTCTTTCAATTTGTATACCTTCTTTAATATCCAGTTTTTCTCTCAGTAGATTTTTAATCAGTTTTTCGCTTTTCTCCCATGTTTCGCCTTCGGTTTCCTCAATACCCTCAAATCGCAAGTTATTTCTCCTACTTCGGTCTTCTAACTCAGCAATTTTATTTTTAGTGCTTCATTTTCTTAGTTTAAATATTTTTGATTTAGTTGACTGTGTCCATTTTTTTTGTTAACTAGATAGTTTTATTTGTATATATATATATATATATATATATATATATATATATAATATATATATATATATATATATATATATATATATATATATATATATATATATATATATACAAGGCCGCTGCGCGGAGAGACGAGTTATATATATATATATATATATATATATATATATATATATATATATATATATATATATATATATATATAACTCGTCTCTCCGCGCAGCGGCCTTGCTCGTCAAGGTTCGTGTTTCGGAATTATAGAGTTGAGAGAGGGTTATAGCCACAAATAAGTAGCCTCCTCGTCTGTAGTGGCCTTCTCAGCCTTGAGGAGGTGAATTAAAAAAAAAAATTATATATATATATATATATATATCCCAGTGGGCATGCGTCGTCCGGGGGACGTCCATTGGACGTCTTACGGACGTCTGAACTTCCATGAGACGTCCAGCAGACGTCCTCCGGACGACGCTTGTCCACTGGGATATAACCGTTGCTAGGCTCCAACACACACCCTTATTGGGAAGAGGGGGAAGCAATTTTAAACAAATAAGATAACTTTTTTAATTTTATTTAAAAACATTTTATTATTCAAGATATGTTTCGACTATACATAGTCATCATCAGTTAAAATATATTTGTTAAAAACGGTATAAAATATAGTATATAATTGTAAAAATAAACATAATAAAAGCCATAAAATTGATAGCAAACTTCATATATATACAAAAAGAATTATTAAAAATTATTTTAACAAATGTAAAATAACAAAAGAACCGGAAAGTTATATTAAATGGTAAGAATCATTTTAACATGATTTACTTGTTTATTCATCGCGGGTTTTTTCCACTATATATATATATATATATATATATATATATATATATATATATATATATATATATATATATATATATATATATATATATATATATATATATATATATATAAATATATATATATATGTGTGTGTGTGTGTGTGTATATCTTATACTGCTGAGTTAGGTGAGCATGATGATGTCATACTCACCTAACGTCAAATAGCCTGCTGCCGGGGGCTTCAGTACATACATCGACTGACAAATAGCCTGACTCGCAGTGGAGTGCTGCTACATCGACTGAGGGTTTGGTATGGGTCAGCAACATTTTCATTCGTTATTCTTCGTTTTCCCTCATCGTTTTCTAAAAATGCTCACTTAATTTAGGCTAGCAAAAAAAGTGAGCAATTGCGCATATAAATATGCTATAGTAGATATATATATATATATATATATATATATATATATATATATATATATATATATATATATATTTATACATAAATGAATAAAAACAACTGATTAGCTGGACCTAAAGTTTCATGTCCGAAGGCAATCAACAGCCGTTAATACAAACAAAAAACGTAAACAAACCGTTACAAAAACGTAAAAATTACTGTAGAAAGTAAAATATATGTAGTTTTATCATTTAATAATATTGAACGTGCAAGTATTATTACATCAAAATACTTAATTCGAATATATTTTATATATCTCTATATATACAAATTTATATATATTTATATATATATATATATATATATATATATATATATATATATATATATATATATATATATATATATATATATATAGAGAGAGAGAGAGAGAGAGAGAGAGAGAGAGAAAGAGAGAGAGAGAGAGGGAGAGAGAGAAAGAGAGAGATCTTGAAATTATTACATCGCCTAAAAGAGTTAGACCTTCCAGGCGAAAATAGTAATGAAATCCATTATCTAATTAAATCGATGATTTCTTTTGAATTTTTTGTTTTCAATACTTTTTGGTTTAAATGTTTGATGACAGTTAACGACGTGAGTCTTCTGCTTCAATCCACTCAACTCACTCTCGATGATGGCCTTTTGACGGATTTGGATTGAATCTGTTTGTCTTGGGACGTGATTTTGATAAAAGTAACAGAAGTTGCATAGAACTTGAAATTTAATGAAACTATATTTGCTGTGAAGAGAACAGCGAAAAAGGAATGTGTTTCCTGATGAAACTGTTAGTTACTACCACGAAGAAGCATCAAAACACTTTGAGTGTAATGTCTTCAATGGTACACTTGACAATCTAACTAATCAAATGAGATCAAGATTTAAAGTAATAGAAGAGGAATGCAACAAGTTTTTTTCTTTGGTTTTTACAGAAATCTCAAACAGACAAAGAACTAGGTTTAAAAGTTGAGAACCTGGCTAAACGTTACCCTGAAAACTTATGTAAAAACGAATTTTCTGATGAAGTTCGGAATTTTTTTTCCGTAAGAAAAAATATTCTAGCCAGCGAAAAGCCTGTCGAACTTCTAAATGAAGTTTATGCAAAAAGGCTGCATTCAATATTTCCACAAGAAATCTGAGATTCATTAAATTAATAAAATCAAATTTTTCATGTTCATATTATAATGAACTAAATGGTACAGAAAATCGACAATAAAAATCATGGCAATTTCCATTATTAAAATCAATAATGCTGCATTCTGTATTTATATCAAAACTAATAAAGAGTTTACAATTTTTTTTTGTTATAATGATTATACATGTTACTTGCATCTATGTTAATATTATTTTCATTCTTTTCGAAAAGAAAATCTACAAGATGTAAACTTTTAGTTTAAATATAATTTCGAAAGCTTTATTTTTGTTTTTTTCTTATGAAATGCTTAAATTCCAGCATTTTAAATGCTGGAATTTAAGTATTTCATAAGAAAAATACACCTAAAAGAAGCTTAAATAAAGGAATTAAAGGAATTCGATGTGCAAAGAAGGTGGTTAAAATAATGGCAGATAAAAGTATGTGCATAATTGAAGACGACGAAACATATAACAAGACAGATTTTTCACAACTTCTTGGTCAAGAATTTTACTTTGAAAACAAAGATAAACCTGTTGATAATCAATTTATATACATTTGATGAGAATAATTTTCATCTAACTTCCTCGTGTGGCAAGTAATTTATAGCTGTGGTATGCAGTCCTCTTGTTTTATCACTAAGAAGACCTTGACTGCCGATCTTTACATCAAAGAATGGTTCCAAAAAAGACTTTTGCCATTTATGAAAAAACACAAATACCGATGTTTCTTTTGGTCAGATCTTGCTGCTTCTCACTATTCTAAAAAAGTTCTATGGTGGTGCAAAGATAATGTGAAAATTGTTTCCAAAGAAGCTAATCCTCCGTATCGTCCTGAAGATTGAAGATTTTTGGGCAGTAGTTAAAGGAGTTCTTTGTAAGACAGGTGGCGTAACAAAAAATTAAAAGGACTTTTAAAAAAGTGGATTTATGCTATCAAGATAAAAAAGAAAATGTCTTTGAAATGATGGCATCAACCCGCTTATCAAAAAAATTGAAACAAAAAGCATTTATGATTTTAGAGAAAGTTGACCGGATTTTTCTGTGTCCACCCAATATTTCAAGTTTTTTAATGCAATTTTATGCAAAATTTGAGATCAGATTTTCTACCACGAAAAAACGTAATAGGATTTTGGGATTTATATCTCAGTGACTACCAACAAATGAGGTCATGACATCAAGCGCTTTTTTTTTCAACTGAGTTGAGTGCTGATTTTCATTAATGACAATTAATTTTAGACTTGTGATTAGAATTCTGAAATATGTACACAAATTTTCATTTTCAAATTTGAAATTAGTTTTTTACTGTGAAATCAGTAAGATGGATTTTCCAAAAGATAATAAAATACGATACTAAAACTTGCTCTAGAGAGTTCAATTCGTGTTGCAGGAAGAGTTTCCTCAAATGCATTAAAGCTCTTTGTAACAAATTTAACGAATTTCTACTCAACAAAAATAAGTTTAATTAGCAATTACTAACGTATCTGAGGTGATATCAAGCTTTGCAGCATTAAAAGCAATTTGTCGTATTTTACAATATTAAATGCTTTTTCTTTTTATATAAAGTTTTGAAAGAAGTTAAGGTAAACAAAAAATTTTCTCGGATTTCTTTATCAAGCCACATAAATCTTTAAATAGTAATGTTTTTATAAATATTTTTAATTTGATACACAATTAGTCCATTGTAAATATTCTTGAAGCAATATCGGCTACAAGCCAATTCATTCCATCGAGAAGTTTCAAACCAGTGACTGCACTGCATCCAAGAATTTGCCAGTGGTGACTTTTGATAGAATCTAGTTCCAGAATCTATATTTAACAATAAAATGAAGGAACAAGTTAAATATAAAAATGAAGGAACAAGTTAAATATAAAAAACAAGGCACAAATTAAATATAAAAATGAAGGAACAAGTTAAATATAAAAAACAAGGCACAAATTAAATATAAAAATGATCAAAACAGATTAAGGAAATAGTCAAAAAACATTAAAAAGAATCTTTATTTAAATTTCGTTTAAAATTATTTTATTTTTTTCTTACTTCGTTACAAATACTTCTTTGTATCTATATGCTACAAAAATACTTAAAATTTTTAGCAGTATTTATAACTAAATACCTCTTTGATTTCATCTGAAGTTAAAGCTCCATCTAAATCCTGTTTGTTTGCAAATACCAGAAGAGTTGCACCGGATAACCTCTACATATAAATTCGAGCTAAAACTTTAGCAAATGTTTGAACTTAATAAAACTTGTAAATAACAATAAACTGTAATACATAAACTTTAACGAATGCATTAGCATTAAAGTACGATTATCTATAGAACTATTACCTCTTCGGCAAGTAGCGTCTTAAGTTCTTTTTTACAATCATCTAATCTCCATTTGTCTGCACTATCCACTACCCACACTAAACCATCAGTACTCTCAAAATAGTTACGCCAATAAGATCGAAGAGATTTTTGACCGCCTACGTCCCAAATGTTCAATTTAAACCTTTTCAGTTTTAAAATTTTGCTATTAAACAACTTGTATGAAAATATATTTAGATAAGTGAAAATATATTTTGGTAAGTGAAAATATATTTTGGTAAGTGAAAATATAT